CACCCTTTCGACCTGCCGACAAGCGATCATGTTACGTTGGCTATATCGCCAACGATTGCAAGTCTGAACATCATCAACTTGCGAATAACATTGACTATTTGGACTCTGTGCGATGATTAACCTAAGGCAATAAAAAATTTCAGTGACTTACTCAAGAAAGCTGATTCCTACCTTAAAAAAGAAATGTCAGTCAGTATTACCTTAGTCAGTCCTTCTCGGGACTACTCTCACCCGGACGATCAGACTGCACAATAAACTCTTATTCCTGAGCTCAAACCGATTACTACTGAATCTAACTGTAAAACGCCATGAAATGTTCGATGCTCCGGGTTTAAAAGGACATTTTGGCCCAAATCTTACCACTTCCAAGCCTTTAGCACCCTTATGAGTTGGCCACAAGTCTTCAGAGGATTTAGAGTGTGCTGGTTTAAAGTATATCACCCATTCATTGCCATTGATATCTCCTTGGGTTGCAACAGCATACACTTTAGTGACTTTCTCGAGATCGACTTGAAGCCACTTTTCGCCATCATTTAATTCGGCGCACCATCCATCTTCTCTGGTACCGTTCAGACGATCATATGATGGTAGTGCGTTGACTGGGTAATGACTTTTTTCCCTCGTAAAGCTGTCAAGTATGATATTCGCATCGGAAACTCCAACAGCATTTCTGCAGCAGTTATCATGGGTTTCTGCGCTCAAAAAATTTAGATAATCAATTAATCACAGCTTTAACTACCTTATCGCCGTTTATTGTTCAGTAAAATGAACGGGATCATTCCTTTCTACAAAAGGAAAAGTTTTGGACTTTTGTGGTACCTATATGCGGGACGTAAGACGCGCGGAAAGGTATAGGAGCGGATGCCATGGGATAGAAACCATCAGCAAATAAAAATAAGGCTACGAAATCCAAAATTGTAACATTTTTTTCGTACTGATATTATGTATTGATTTTGATAATTTATTTACCAAGGTTAGGAAAATACTTCACCTCGTACAAACCGTCCTGCTTTGGACTTTAGACATACACCTCGCGTACGCTGAAATGCGATATTTTTAACTTCTCTTAAATAATGATTTATCGTGTTCCACGAGGATGTCTTTGGATTATTATGCTTTGAGAAGTTAAGTGTAAACGCTCTTCTCTCCATATTTTCAGATTACAATACTAAATCTTCGTCAACAGCGTCTTGGTATTTCTTTCATTATAAAGCCTGAGGGCCTTGCAGGCAATTTTTCGACGATTGTTCCAGCAAAACGCAATTGTTACAGCAAATGCTCACAATATAAAAACATCCCTTGAATAAAGGCGATAGATACCAAAAAAAATTAAAATGCGTCCACAGAGGCTTCAGGAACATAATTAACCTATTCTGCACAACGTTTATTCATTCAATAATAAACAAGTGAATGGGATACGGCAGGTTTTCTGTTTTGCATGCTAGACAAATCTTCTGCGAAGCTAACCCATAGCATTATCATACAACCTCTGGTTCTTTTCAATGCTATAACATTGTGCTATATCAGTAGCCATATGCAGTCTTAACTGCTTATTTTTAGCCTATGGCTCTTTTCATAGACCGCTAACATTTCCTTCTTTTCTGTTGTCTGATTGTCCTACATAAATTATGCTAAGAGTGTGTCCACTAGTCGCTTCCAATGCAAATAACATTTGAAGAAGTATCACAGAAAGCGATCTCGACAGAATATAATATATATATTGTCTGTCGGCCCCTTGGCATGGAAGTGTCTCTTCTTTCGAGTTGATCAGGAAATTTGTGAGTTGCTACTTTTTCGGAATGACCGTGAAATTTCTGGAAGAGATTGCCGTCACGAAGGTGAATTGTAAACAAAGATTTTATCCAGATGCTGGAAAACTGCAGTTGTTAGTAACAGGTCAGGGTATATAAGGCTGTATTATTTACGTTTACTTTACAAACTGATCTTGTCACATCTCTCAGTTATGTTAATTGAAACCTTCCTCCTCTATTTGAACCCAGAGATGAAATATATATCTTACGGACAAAGTTCTAGGTCTGCAGTGTAAGGTCTGGAAATTTTTTTTTCCCACACGTTTTTGCACTTAAGTCATAAATCTGAGCAAAAAAACTTGGTTCATAACAAACCTTGGGGACCTCAAACTTGGTTAGAAAATATAGGATGGCCACTCGGAGATAAGAAATTTCCCTTCAAGGGAAATTTGGTATTGCCAAGTGGCCATGTAATATTCTAATTATTATGTAAACACAAATGAAACACCAATCGTTTCACTTAAATATTTTTTTTAAAACAGAACATGGAAAAGTATGATTTTCATGTAACCATAGCAACAGTGATGTTTTCATGCTTGAAGATAACATGTTATCTTCATGTGTGAAGATATCATGTTTTGAACAAATGCAAGCTCGCTTGGTATTTCATCAGTATTTATGTTATTAGAGGTATTTATCTCCTTGACTGTATTTTACATATTTAGAAAGTAGTATATTACCACCAACTAGGTGCATGGTCTCAGTTCCAGAATCACCGTACTTTTGGAGAAATTAAGATAAACGTTTTCCCTGTTTTACCCTACAGCTAAAATGACTGAAACTGTATTGAGATAAATAATCGATCAGTGTGTTTACACTTACTCTTAAAGAAAACTGTATGCATCAGAGTAAAGTCAATGATGAAAAAAATTTCAAACTTTTTTTGGGATGTTTTTGTATGAAAGTGAGGCCTCCAGGCTGCAAAAAAAGCAGTGGTTCTTACCATGGAAACAAGAGTGCTACTTAAAAAAAAAGGCATTTTTTTGCATTCCTCTGAGTGCCTAACTGCATGCAAAATTTGAAGGAGGGTTGAAAATTTTTCATTCCAAAGATGTTTGATTCTTACAGAATAGTTCCTAAAGTGCTAGAAGAGATGAATGGCAACAATCAAAAGATGCCCCTGTTAGTTACATTAAAAATTTTTAGTGCAGGTAAAAATGCAATTTCCAGTGAAATTTAAGGAGAAATTTCTAGGTTTCATCCAACTTTTTAATAAGTGCTACCCTTGACTAAGCACCTAAGTAAGTACTATGATGCATATTCAAGTAAAAATGTTATGTTTACTCTTTTGAGCCAGGAGTGACCAGTTTGTATACATTCTTCCTACACTAAATAAATTCTCAGTCAAGTGTGGAAAGTAATCCAGGATTTCTATCTTTAAATTTCACTTTTTGTCTCTCCGTAATTAGTCTTGAAAATTGTGTGCCAATTTTCCACCAATCAGATACAAAAACCAAGGCCAATTTCAACTTGGTTACTTGGGTTTTCCTGTACTTTGGGTAGTTTTCCTGTTTTTAGTAGGAGCTCTCAATGGCCTTTAGCGCTATTTCTTTTGATACAACATGATTGGCTTTTCTTACCACTCTGATTTTGGTTTTACAACACCTAATTGCAGATAGAATTAGGAGAAAGGGGGTTAGTATCTGAGGAAACTGTCAGTGATGCTGTGTCTGTGGCTTGTGTGGCAGGCATTTGCTCTGACGAAGAGCTAATGTAAAAAATGTCAGCTTTAAAAACTCTTTACAGTGGCCAATTAACAAAATCAACTCAGTTGATAAAAAAAATTATCTTGTAACACTAGTTTTTGGCATTTACATGTATTAATGGGGGAATCTATTATTATCCAGTTAATGGGAATAATTAGCTATGATATTGTGGGTCTAAAAGGGAACGGGGCAAAAGAAAACAAAAGATTAAATTTTGCATCAGTAGTCTATTCACTTTCAAATGTAATAATAGAGTATTCATTACTTATCTTTCAATTCAGTCCCTTCATTTTGAATTGCAGCAATTTGATTGCTTATTGCTGATCTTCTTCAGGAGAGAAAGTGGATTGCTTAATATGTACCATCTGTTGAAAACATGGTCGGAGACTTGTAACTAATCCACATCATGATTTAAGGAAAGAAGACTGCAGTATACTGGAAGTGTCACGCAGCAAGCAATAAATACTTGTCACAACTTTATCTAATCAAAATGAATGATCAAAAACCTTTTTAACTCTTATTTCAGATTTGATGCATTAAGTGAAAACTAATCTCCCTGCTGATGGTTACTGTGTCATTGGTCTTACATGGGTGGATCTTTATCCTGGTGAAGATTGGAACTTTGTTCTTGGGGAATCATCATGTGAGGAGGGTTGTGCTGTGGTTATCTTTGGCCATTGAGCCATAGTCCTACCAAAATAGACATTTAAATGATACAACAAATCAGAATATTGCAGGAGTCTTTTGAGAAGAATGGCCATCATGATGTAAGCCTTCACCTGGAAGATTTTGCAGATATAGAAAAAGGCAATGAAGAGATCATTTGGAGACTTCTCTGGGTAAGATGTTCAAAGATGAACAAGACCAACCCAACACTATTTTGAATCGTTTCGATTGTTTACGTTCTGATGTGAACAACGAGTCGTGGGAGGAGTTAAGAGAAAACTTTAGAGATCGTTGCGTTACACAAAAATATTAATAAGTGAGACGCAAATTCTTATCAAAATAAACGATATTGTCCTTCATATCACACTTCACACACATAACTTTTTATAAAAATTATGAGGTTCTGAAAGTTCCGCGGTCTGCTGATCCGCGG